ACTTAAATAATTAAAGTAACATAAAAAAAAAAAAAGAAAAAGTACCAGGCAGGCACAGCTAAGGCGGGCTTAGGATAAAATTTTCCATCCCAAATCGGCATCAACAGGGCTAGGAAACGTCTTAATTTCCTTACAAACAACACAGTCGCTGTTCTAGGTTACACATCTGTGTACACCTAACCTTGTCTGACAGGGCCACGTTTGAGTCCAGAAGGTACAATAGCGGCCATTCAGGTTTTGGCAGGTGTATCTCAAGCCAACAACTAACGAGGCTCCACAAAAATAGCAGTCTGCTCCACAGGTGTGAACATTTTTGACAAGAACCCTCAACATCTCCCCACAAGCTGTGAAATTTAATTGTCCTTTTGGTGCCTTATTCTCTGTGAACACAACCTATTTCTGCTTGGAACAAGACAGTATCTTCTGGAAGCCAAACAGTCAGGAGGCCCCTGGGCAGCTTCTGAGATTTGCTTGTAACATCTCCTGGTTCTGTTTTTCGCGTTATGTATTTTGGAGATGAGGCCAAGTTCAATGAACTGCAGGTAAGCAGTTTGGAAAGCTGGAAAAATGTTAAATGAAAGAACTTTATACCCAGATGACACGAGCAGACAGGCAATCAAAAATGCACAGGGCAGCGTTTTGAAACCCGAAGGCCCATTAAGTGGACGTTATTTGACAAGCCTGACGGTCGGTGTGCACAGAGAAAGGCTGATTTCTTTCTACAGAACTGACCCACTGGGAGGACTGGAGGTCTATGAATACAGATGTGATGGTGGGAAGGGACTCGGCTACCTATCCAATCCTTCTCAAAGGAGAGATGAGGAGGGGCAGAGACCTCTGATGCTGGCAGCTGGTCGGACTTTGAATTTTCCAATCCAAAGCCAGAAAACGCAGACTGGAGTCTGTTCTCGTAGGAGGCACACAGATTTTTAAGAAAAAAAAAGGTGTCAAGTGTGTTAAATTTGAACAAGAGATTCCAACTTGATCCAGTATTAGAGTAAACACATGTCTGTTTTCTCAAAATAAGGACTTGCTGAGGAAGGAAAAGCACATAATGCTTAAAGTGGTGAAATTACCCATTGAAGGGAGAAAAGTGTGAAATGAAAGATGACTGGCCAGGTAATGAACATCAGGGCATCCCAGAAAAGTGGCCTCTCCACACACAGAAGAAACTAAGGCGGATGGCATTGAGAAATCAGGTCTTCAGTGACCTCCTGAGAAGACATAGGGGAGCTCCACTATGAAGGGTGTTCCAGACTCTTGTGTAGTCCATTTTGAATGGCACGATTTTGAAGGGCAATTCCTTTCTTTCCTACAGAAAAAGTCATGTGTTGGGCTAGAGGTTCACAAAGAAAAGGTTTAGAAAACTGACACTAGGCGATGAAGAACTCTTAAGAAATCACAGCTCTGTTCACTGACCTTATTTCTAAGCAAGTCTCTTGTTTTAGTTTCTGTTTTGGAATTGTTTCCTCTCCTGTCTAAAGTTCTGAAGTAAGGAGACCTAAACTTCAGCTTATCTCTTCTTCCTGTTTTTTGGGCTTGTGGATAACCAGCGTCCAATACATTACTGGTGACCCCCCAGACCACCTGCAGACAAAGCTCAGCACATTATGGAAAAACTGCCAATGATCATGATTTTCTGTCAAGGAACTAACCGCAGTCTCCCATACACTTCCAGCCATTTCCTGTCATCACTTGCCATTTGTAGTTTGAAGACACAATGTTTAATTCCCTAAGTATTAGAAAGAGAAGTTGGCTAAATTCTTAAAAGACAAACCTGAAATTCAGGCCAGACTTGTTAAAGGTTTTGTTTTGTTGTGTTGTGTGAGGTTCATGAACTTTTCCGTAATTAGGGGACTTTTTCAAGTCAACCTGAGCCAATACAAGGCTTGAATAAAATCAAACCAAGGGCAAAGATTTTGAAGAGGTGCAGTTGGAAATCAAGAGAAACTCAACAGTGCCCATTGGGATAGTTTTGGTTGTGGGGTGAAAGGGAAATACTTTCAAAGTTAACATTTGAGAAAAGACTCTTGGGGGTGTAAAATCATGTGACTCAACATCCCTAAGAATGTTTCTGCAAGCAGGTTCGTATTGCCGAGGTGGCTCTCTGTAACTTTCCCTGGCCTCACAACAGCCTTGGCACTAATGTCGACATGGCCAAGGCAAGAAACTGTGAAGGCAAGCTGTGAACAAGACAGGTGACCACTGTACAGTTCTTACTCCTGAGAATGTCAATGATTGGGGGTAGCTGGTCTGCCATTCACTGTCCCTCGAGTTCCCCTAAGCGTCCTGAACAGCTCATGACATGTTAATGAAGTTATGTGATTCTTTAGATACCCATTTTTCAGGTGGTTCTTTTGTCATTCCCGAAGACTAAGTTCATGAAATCGCTCTGCCACATGGAAGGCCCTTTTTAGCTCTCACCCAAGAAGGATGACACCACAGGAAGGTGCAAGACTCTTCAGTGTCTTAGAAATTGCCCATCTGTGACCCGTTCCCCTTGTCAAGGGACGTGGAGTGCTCAGGTTTAATTAGCGCCTTGGGTCAATTACTCAAGAGATAAATATTTGATATGAGTACCTTTGAAGGTTTTCTGTAATGACTCAGTCTTGGAAAACCTGCATATCATTTGCCAAATTCCCCTTCTTCAGATGATGGTTGGTGGCCGTTGGCACCTACAATGGAGAAACGCAAAAGTGCCGTCAGTGCGTTTTATCGATGATTTCTCTTATCTTTCAGATGTTGCCCTTTCACAACTTCAAGGGCAAACATTGGTAGGAATAATATTCTCCACATTTCATGCAACCTGATTTTTTTTACAATCACTTGCCAGAAACCTTGAAGAATTGTGGGTAATTTAGTCCTTTTGTAGAAGTTTCCATTGGACTCTCTCTTCAAGGGAAAGACTAGCCATTAGATTCATTTCAGATTATTCTTTTGACTGGATTTCATAAAAAATAATTAAAAAAGAGTTTCTTTTTAAAAGTTTACAAAGTGTTCCAGGTTTAAAAGTTGAGTGAGGTCTCATTTTAGGTGATGAGATCTATGTTAAAGGAAAATGTGCTGATAATAAAATCTTCTAATGTTGCTGCAAGCTATTATTTGATGAACAGCAATGTAAACATTTGCAGGTGGTTAAATTTGTTTCTATTCTGCATTTATGGCAGTTGAAAAAATGTGACTAAAGCCAACTTAGATATTTTGAATAAGAGGAAACACCTATTTTAATGCATTAAGTATTTGATGAAGCAATCTTGCTGCCACAAATAGCCCATTTTAACATGTACACATTGTATATAAATGTGGATATGATATATGAGATAGAAGAGGAAATATAAGATACATAACGTATCTTATACAGAAATATAAGATACAAGAACAGGAAAATGACAAATATTAACAACTCAAAATCTCCTTTACATTTAAAAAATATTTCTCCTGCCCATGTAAATATTAAAGCATTTTATTTAGAGCATTTATTTTTTATTTTTTTACCTCTTCACTCCTCCGGTATACAGTGAGGGGAATCTCAGAGATAATGAGGTAATGAGTGGAGATTGTTTCCCTCAGTAGAGACCTGGAATCTCCTCTTGTTCTGAACTGGCCCTGGGGATTCAGGATACACGTGGGCGGTTCCAGGTCCTTCCCTCTATTCCAGAAGCTTCCCTCTTACGGGCGGATTGTTGCAGCAGGGCCTCCCTGGCACTGGTTTGTTGCTGCAGGACTTTCTCTCCCACATCACTCTTATCACATCTCTTTCCATTCCCAACAGAAGCTGACTCCTCCACCCGCTTACGCCACCCTCTGTCATCTGGCACGCCCAACCCTGGCGGCCCTTTGATCACTCCCCTGACTTCTCTCTTGGGAGTAGATGAGTTCTAGTTTGTTTATATTCTCCATGTCCATGTCTCTGAGAACATTACAAATTATTATAAGCATCACGCAGATGTCCACTTTTTAAGCATGTTCCAGGACGACATAGAAATGTTGGTATTTACAGTTCTGCGTGGCACCTCGTGACCTCCCGAAGTGAATGTACATTGGAAGTGACCCTGTGAGCACCCGAGGCCAGTAGAAACAAACTGAAATCTGTGCCACACAGTTAGCACTTAGCTATGGAGTCTCCACTGTCTCCACGGTGAGTGAAGACCTGTCTCTCTGGGCAGGTCTTAGGGGTCCTCAGTGCGAGGGTTGTATCCCAGGCCCCTACATGTCATACGCTCATTATAATGCGGCCCCGGTAACTTCCATGAACTGAGCATTGCTGGAAAGTCAGGACCGAGTCACACAGTGATCCTTCGTTTGTTTTGGAGTTTACTCAAGTTTTGGCCAAAAAAAGCTAATTTGGGACCCTGAATGGTTCTGGAAGCCAGGATAACTTGTAGGCCCCCAACTCTGAAGCTGGGCCACACAAACCTGAATGGATCAGGGGGCCACTGGCCTAGCTCTGGGTCACCTGCCCTTTCTTTTTCTTAAGCCAGACCTATATTTTCTGTAGGCAGTGACTCAGTGCATGACTCAGAAATATGTGTGTGTGTTCAGAGAAAGAGAGGGAGAGAGCTCTTGAGTCTCAGTTTCTCTGTTGGTAAAATAAAATATAAGATTGGAAGACCTCCAGATCCTTTCCTGTTCTAAAATTCTATAAAACTTTGGCACGTATGCCCATTGATTTGACATCATCATCCATAACCAAGTGTGGGTGTGCGCCAGAATTTCACCTGCTGATACGATGGCGGGAAGTTAAGCTTGATGGTTTAAGAGCTGCACTTTAAAAGTTTGGTTTGGCTTCTCTCTCTGTATTAGTGTTATTGCACTTAGCACTTACGAGCCCATGCCATAAAGCAAGTGGATGACTGAACTTCGCTCTCTTGGCTTTCTCAGTTGTTCAGAAACTGAGCTGCATTTCCTGGCTCTCAAACTTCATAAACTCATCAGATTTTGCTGCAAAAAAAAAAGTCACTAAAATAACAGTCCTCAGTGTAAAACACTAGCGCCATTCAGAGGGAACTGCTGCACCAGTAACTGATATTTTTAAACTGTAAACTGGAGGTATTTTTCTATGCTGTACACACATATACAGTTAGACAGATGTGTAAAGTAAAAGTTTATTTTTCTTAGGCAGCCGTCCTTTATTTGTCTCCTACAAACGGCGTTAGTCTTGCTGCAGAAGTGCGCGCTGTCCTTGCTCCCTTGTCCTTGTTAAGTAATAAATAACCGGTTCCAAACGGCCTTCCCTAAGGAGTTGGTGGAAGGTCCAAAATGTCCTCGTTAGAAAACTTGCCCTGAACCACACGAACCTTGCCATTGTGACGATGCACGCATGTGGGACTATTACTTCATGCACAATGACATGAGACCAGAAAACATGTGGACAGGAAGCCAAACCCAAAAGAGAGTTGGGGAGCTTCCAGCTTTCCACAGAGCTCAGAAATAGAGCCAAATGCAAAAGTATTCTGAACTCAGGTGTCTGGGGACAGCACGGCTGCACCCTCTCCACTCTTCACTGTGTGGGGAGCACAGAGGCTCAGGCAGCACCAGCCTGGAGGGAATCATTATGTCAGCAAACCCCAAAAGCTTGTGGAGTTGCAGCACTGGCTTGAGAAGTTAAGACTTGAAATGTGGAATGGCCAGCACCATATATGGAAGCTCAGTACATTCTTCCTACTCTCAGCTGTGCGAATGGGAATTCCCCAAGTTTCTCTTGCTCCTTCTTTAAACAATAACCTTGCCGATGATGCAAGCTCATCTTCTTCTAAAGTATGTATTTGGTGATTATTTTGTATAACTGAGCTTGTAAAAGTTCCTTTTTGGGGCTCTTCATTTTTTGTTGTTTCACAGAAAAGCATTTTACCAACAAGAGAAACCTTTTTCAGAGCCAAAGATAACTTCTGGAGTTTGGGAAATTTTGAAGTAAGCCATCAGAAACCAGATAGAATTCAGATTTTAACCAAATACTATCTTTCCCCCGCTCCCTTTTTATCCAAGCACTATCTTTCTGATGAGTGATGAAACCCTCTATATTTCCAGGTAGACATAGGTTCTTAAATCTATTTGTAAATGTGTTGATACAGTTTACCCATAAGAAAGGAATATTATATATATATGACTTTTCAAGACTAGCCATGAAGCCTGGGGCTAAGTCCCTTTTGTAATAAATGGTATTTGCTTTGAAGTGTTTAGGTGGGGTAAGAACTCTGGAATCCAGGAAACCTGATAGAAGTTTTGCCATAGAAGATTAAGCGCTGAGCGGAGATGGGTGTAAGGTTATCAGAAAACTAAGGTTATCAAGTAATCAGACCTCAAAGACTTAAAAAGTCACAGCTTCCTGTCTGCTAATGAGATTGTTTTCTATTCATTCTAAATGTTAAAGTTCTATTTGTCATCTTTTAAAAAATTTGCAAATGTTACCCACCCTTCACTCCCTATTTTGCACCATTCAAGCATATGGGGAAAACTTCCTACTCACACTGAAGAAGGAGGAAATGGTTGTAGGTTAAGCAATGCTTTGGCTTAGAAATTACCTCCTTTACTGTAGTCTCTGACTGGGTCCCCCAGTTCAAGGGAAGTGAGAAAGACCGGCTAAGGAAAGGACTGCTTCTTGATGCATATGTATTCTCTATGAATATGTGCTCTTTATGAATAAATATTCTACTGGCCCACAGATTTTTTTCCTACTCTCTGCTCATTTCTGAAGGCTCAGTGGAAGTAACAATTACTTTCTTTTGAGAGTAGACATAGTTATTGTCAAGACTGCCCCAGACATGGCCTTCCTGTTGAAAAGTTAATGGGAAAATCATCTAGTCAACAGCAGGGATACAAGATGAAAGCTCAGAGGCCAGTGAGTCTGGATATTGACATTTATTGGGGACATTGAGCATAATGGGGAGAGCCCAGCTTTTCTCTTTAAAATTTCCAAGACGTTTTCAACTTTATACTTAAAAAAACCCCCTATTTTTGATTTTTACTCGGTGTTGCAATCTCTTGTGACACCTCAACCCAACAATAACTCAAATAACTCAATTTTCTTCTATAAACTTGTGATTCCTCTTGTTTTATGGTATTCCATTATAGTGCCCAGTTGCCCAAGCCCAAACTAGTATCACAGATGTTTCCTTTTCCTTCATTCCCAAGTTGAGAATGTTCTGCCTTCTAAATATCTCTGGATCTGTGGCTTATTGTCAACCTACCCTGCTATGGATCTCAGCATTTCTCACTTGTACCCTACAATCCTCTTTTAACTGGTCTCCTACCTTATAGTATCGTCACCTTCACGCATTTGCCAAACCCACACTTCATACTAGATCATACATGATCTATATAAAATCTTCCCTAAAACTTGGATAATATCTACTCTGCACCTGCTCAGCCCATGCAAAGTCCTCCCTTGTCTTCCCACTGATTAGTGATCCTGAAAGTGCCCAACCTGGGTGAGTTAAGGAGCTTGTGTTATAATGCTTGCATCACTGAGATGGATTTGCGATAAGCAAACCATCAAATAAACAACATAGTCTATTGAACCAAATAATGTCTTAGTGACATAGTTGATTTACATTTCAGCCTAAGCTTTGGATATAGATGTAAACCTACAAAACAAACTTTTTTTTGTGAATCATGAGCTGGCCCATGCATGAGTTTGAGTTTTACTAGAGTAATTGGTCCAAACATCTTAGCATTAAGCACCTAGAACACCCTCGATAGGGTCCCTGATGAAATCTCCAGCCTCCACTAGGTTCAATACTGGAGCACCAATTGAAACCAGGTCCAGTTCCCATGCTTTCTCACCCCTTCTGCTCCTCAAAGCTCCTCCCCTATGGAATGTTCTTTCACACC